AAAAATATCAATATATGTGTGTCAATGGATAATTTTATGCGTGAAAATAGCAGCCATTTCACAGGCACTTTAATGTACGAGGCGATATAGGCAATGGACTGCTTACCGTCGGGTATGATATATGGGGCAACACTTGTCGTGCTCCGGTGCTCTGCGTGGCTATAGTCAGCAAGGTTGTAATCCCGAGGCTGACACGAGCAGCTACGGCATCTGCGTGTAACCAGAACGAGGTCCAAGACAAGACAACCAACAAAGTACTGGGTATATATGTAGTGAGAAGATGGTAGCCCATTTGACGGTGGAGGTGAACACGCACCACTAAATATGACCAGTTTTCTGTTTTAAACAAACAAATGAACATATTAAAACCGGTGTAACTACGTACTGTGCTCTATTCAATTTCAATTTCGCGAATAATAGAGAGTATGCAAAGTTTGGCAAAAACGTAGGAGACATGATGACCTAATTACAATATGTAAAATGACGTCATTAATCGAAATGCATTATGGGACATACATGTAGCGCCCTCGTGTGACTCACCTAATCCAACCGCTTCGAAGTACTGGTGCGTTGTCAGTTGTTTAATTTCAAACTGAGCAAGGTGATTTTCTTGAGTTATACGCATGGGGTCTTCTGCCCTCCATCGTAGTATCATTTCATTAATGTTGTAAGAAACTTGAATAAAATGGGTATAGAACAAATGTCACAAACAAACATCACCTCGGACATGAACTGAATATGCTCCTCTGTGTTAATTAATTAATTAACTATGCAAATTAATTGAGTTGATTAATTTTAAACTAATCTAAGGACACGCCCAATGAAAGATTTTTTTTTGGTTCAGAGATGTTTATTGATATTGTGAATCGTTTTCTTATTTGCATTGATAGGATACCGAACAAAAAAGCTGCAAAGCTACATATACTTGGTATGCTACACTCATTAAAACAAAATTGCCGCCAGTCGGCCATAATATTATGTATGATATGTCTGAAGTTTGATTATGCCACATTAATGTTACTCACAGCTCGAGATGTAAATCGGACACACGTTTTTGTCCATAGGGTAATCATTCAACAGTAAATGACACAGCAAGGTCAAACTCATTCTGAAAAATAACGATATAATTCAATAAAAATGTGAATATTGTTTCTATTCTAAGTTGCATCATCCGTCCACCACAGAGGGCGCTGCGGATCGGTTCGATTACACACTCCAAACACTGATGGCACCCTCACTTCCGTTCCTCTCGAGAGCATTGACGCTGCAGGTGATCTAACCGCAAGGAACTCTGGGAAGGAGAATGGTCGGCGTCCTTTTTACACCGATCTGACGCATATCGCGCAAGGTGTGCCGGGAGTTTGTTCGAAATTTCGAACGTTTCGAAGTCAATCGTCGATTGCCACGTATTTTACGGATATATTAAATCGTTTCAGAGACCTGTTTACTAAATAATGATAAATGAAACTTAGAAAACTTGTAAGAACAAACTGGGCCCAAATTGCAATAAGTTTACGCTACCAGAGTCTGGTTCGGATGGAGTTCTACGCTTGATTTTATTGCGCTCAAGGACGTTCTATTTTCGAACTAGTTGAAACCGGAAATAACGCAACTACTTTCGAAAGTTCAAACACAAATTTGATTATCGTTATTATGTGTTAGTTTCTGTTGTTTCAAAGATTGAATTATGTATGACAATAATATTTCACTCTATAAACAATATTTCACTAAAATATGTGATTCAAAGGCAACCCAAATTGTAAAAAGCAATATCAAGTTCCGCGTATAAACACTGTTGTAAAGAGGCGGCGGAGCGGAATTTTAGCCAAAATCGGCTAGTAAGGCGTCATATGACACAGGTTTGTGCTGGGACAGCGCTTCCGGTGACGACACAACGTTTGGAGTGTGGTTAGATTACGTCCCCTATTAGCTTGTAGAAAAACAACTAGCTGCGAACGATAATAAAATGACGATCAATCCCTTGACGTACTCAGACATTGAAAGCCGACATATTTTCTTCCTCACCTTGCGCTATAGAATATATCACCGTTTTGCGATATAGTCATAGCCTGGTTATCTGTAGTTATCGAGTGATATCTTCCACTCCTTTCATTTTTAAAATACAGATCTGGTTTCCATACTTTTTTTAAGACAGCCGAGGAATGGAGTAATATGTCTGTTGACGCTTGATGCTGTAGCCTAACATCGGACCACCGTTGATGAAGATGGAATGTCATCGAAAAATCCTGAAAACACACATTCATAACGTAACGTAACGTAACATGAAATGACTGACTTGTATCGTTACTGGCATAAAGTGAACATGCTAAAAATAGGAATAGTGAGATTTATGGCAAAATTGGGAAAATCAAATAGAGGTGAAATAATGATAAAATAAACAGATAGTGATCAAATAATTTGACAAATTAAAGTTCAACTAATCGTCAAACCTTGGAAAAATAATTAATTATCGAATAATGTAATACCAGTATTTTCAAAAAAAATAAAATAAAATAAAGACCAAATACTGTAAAGGCGACAGGAAGTGGCATTGATTGCGTTGATCTTAGATAACTCCCAATCGAGATGCAAATTAGTTAAATCATGGTCACGTGATGATTACGATCATATGACGTAACCATCATGTTACCATGATCTATCTATAGAGCGTGTGGATTATAGAATATATTCATGAAACATATATGTTGTAAGATGGTCACTCAAAACTGGTGTTAAGAACAAGTACATTGAATCAGTGTGTCACATGATTACTTTGTTTTTCATCGGTTCCATCCACTCACCATGGTTTCTGCTTCAACCGAGTCCAGGCTGATTATAAATACACTGCACGTGACCATCACGGGACCTGTAACACAAGAATTTTAGCGCAGATGATTGGTGGAACGATGTGTCGAGCCTGAAAACGTCACACTCGTCACGTATCGTGTTCTTCGATCCCTTCGCTGGTTCCCGGCGTCCTTTGCTAATGGCAAGTAGGATGCTTGGTACGTCTAGCCTCTCTAGATGGCGACGTATTTGACCTTTAGCCCAGAGCTGCCGGTGAGACGTCTCTCCAAATCCACATTGATCAACCAATCAATATTGCGTAACAATGGATTTGGAGAGACGTCTTGAACCGTAACCTTTCGACTGAAAGTTGAATAGACGGCACCCTCTAGAGAGTCTATGATACGCCATGACACTTGAGGCGGGAACCAGCCAAGGAACCAACCAAGTTCTTCCCACGCGACGTATAGAACGTGTGTAAAACATGGAAAATTCGAACGCGTGCTACTCAACGGTTGGGGGCGCTTTAATTAACTAAGCCAAAATAACAATAACAATAAAAAAAAAAATGACGTAAGTCATTCTGTTTTACTCCCTCGTTTGGAGTAAACATTGTGATGAACACGTAGGTAACTACAAAAATATGTTTTCTAAATAAAAAAGCTGGTATACTTAAATCGTTTACGCCGTATGTGTAACATATGAAAAAGACAAATAGCAGGACAGTCATTCAGCTAGTGATAGGGCGAAAGGGATTACTGGATTCGTAAGTGTTTTGTTTCATCATTCTAACTCGCGCGAACTTCTGCTTAAACTATTTTTGCACGCACGCGTCATTTTAAACTATAATTCTTGTAGTTTGATTACCTTTGACATTGGGTCTTGCGCTGAGGGTTCGCCCATCGTCGAATATGGCATCAAGAAGACGGTTTCTCTCTGCGAATTCCACATCGTAGTTAACATCTCTCTGTGGACTGGTGACGTTATTGGCCCGTGAATACATCCTGAAAAATACAGCAGTTCAAGCACAACGATTTCTTTCCCTTTACCCCATGTGCAGCATTACGTTGTTACGCCGTTGGACGCCGGGCAGCATTTGTAATTCGGACTTTCTTTATAACTTGTTAACCATGCTACTATATCAATGTATATATTGCCGGAAATAAGTCATATAGAAAAGAACTGCGAACTTTAAGTTACTGTTTGTCTACGAGATTAAGTTAATATGGAAAATGCCTGAGAAAAACACACTAGCAAGCCGTTTTTGGTATAAATTTAGCCTACATTAATTGCCGACATTAATATTTCTGTTAAAATATAATTGAAAAACGAAGTGTGTCTCGGTGACAACAAGCATTGCTATAAATGTTTAGTAATTTATGGAGAATACCTCAATTGTATGTCACTACCGAAAACGACGTCTGGAGAATTCTAGTTTTACTCGGCTTAGATATATATAATTTAACCATTCCACCACAGTCACTCTCCTAGTGACTGTGATTCCACGTTAATATTGACACCATGCATATCAGTTATATCTATATAAACAATGCATTCACAGGTACTCGGTCAGCGAAAGGGACTAACTCGACGCTATTTTAATTCCATGATCCGGTCAGATACTTGTCGTCTTATGTAACCAATTGTGATGGCAATAATTATAGATCAAGGCCATGTACACCGAATTCCTAATATAAGATAGAACGCTACACAATTCATTTCGCCAATGGACGCTTCTTTGTAGATTCATACGAGTTTCCGAATTATAGCATATTTGAATTTTGATCGAATGTTGACTTTTAATATATTGATACGATGATGGTAAAATTGACAATCTGCGAACTAATAAAATACTTGGAAGGAATTTTATTCAAAACCTTCGAATTAAATTCGATTATCAAATATACACATTCAGAGCCAAAATTATTGTCAGCGTCATGTGTAGTTGTGAATGTTGAGAGTTTTTATTTGAAGGTGATAGGAAATCGGTTACGGTTGTTACAAAGTTTGCCAATTTTAAAAGAAACAAGAAAATGATGATAACTACAACCAGTGAATTTAGTGAAAAAAACGTACATATTACATTTGCATAGATAAATAGCATATTGAATGTGCAGGGAAGTCGCGATTGTTATATTAAAAGATGAAATACTAACATTATTATATTTACACGATTATACCCTAAAAATTAGGCGATTTGTCATATTCTGCCCCTGAAAGCGGGAAACATCATTTACAGTAAAATCTCTTGCTCGTTCAGTTCACCGTTCAGTTTTTTTTTTATTCTGTTCAATTACAAACGGACCAACATATTGACGAGCTCATTATTAATTGAAACAACAACAACAAATAGCCACATCACGTACTCAGGTCAATTGTATGAGAAAACACAGAGGAGTATAGTGTAGCGACAGCGATAACGCGTCAATGAATTGAATTTCTAGGGTATTAACGAACAAAATTAACGCCGCAACGACAAATTTACTACGGGTACAAGGGTATGATAAATGGCAGCAACGCTCTGAAAAAAATGTATTCCATTTATTAGTTTATTAACTGGGATTTATTTATTAACATACATGCATTGTTTTATTCACAGCGCTTGAAAACATTTTGATGACGCCTTTCACGGTAGAAACGGACGGACCTTAAAAGGTAACCAATATTGTCTTAGCACTCACTTTTCATCTTGAAATTTAAACTTTATTTAATTCAATTCACAAATCAATTTACATAATGGGGCCCACGTCAGCCATTTGAGAATTCAGAGTTCATCGCAAAACCTAAAAACTCTAGCGAGCGTTATGTTGTTGTTCTCGGCGACTAGATTCGTGCCTTATTCCAGGGTGCGTTGTGCAATCACGGGATAGGGTACTCCCTTTCATACTTACGCTTTGTTGTTGAGAAGAAGTAACAAAAACACTTGAACGCAAAGCATTATTACACATATCACGTGATTTCGATCCGTATCTGAAATGAAGTTAAAGAAAAAGCTAAAAGGTTTCGTTTTTTGGTTAGGCGGAAACTCCAAATGAATAATGAGTGGTGATTGTGGAGTGGGAAAGTTATGGCGTCCTGGGCAACGTTGCGCCAGGACTTTTACTACATTGCGTACCTCACGAACTGCAGCTGTGGCAACGTTTCCCGTAAGGTGTTTTGTTAACTGGGCACATACATGTATGATTAATAACAGCGAATATTGCTATCATGTGTGAATGACTGGTTCTCGCTAATTGGTCACAAAATACGCACGGAAAACGCACGGAAAACGCCCGTCAATACATAGCGTTCACCTATTCTCGGGTAAAAAAAAAATACCTAATTTTCATATTATTTAGAGACAATGTAATAGTTCATTTGTATATGATCAAATTATTAGTACTTGAGTGCGGACGGTCAACCGTGCCAAGATTATAGCATACATAATAATATATACACTTGGTCTTGCATTAAGCTTTGCGTTCAACGGCTAACTAATAGTTTGAATTAACGAAAGGCATTTGCAACATTTTGGAAAATACAATAAAAAATATAGAAACAAGGTCATTGGTCATACATTTATTACTGAAACATTTCAAACCTATTCACCAAACATATGATGACGAAATCACAGTCTTTTTCCCACCCGTTATTTCGCTACGATATCTTCGTTGGAATACAGATGCACGGATGGCCTATTAAAACGAGATGGTCATTTTATTACCCAGTAGCTAAAAATACAGTTTATATTTCAATGCAGATGTACTGTACTGGCTTATTTTTGGCATTATAATACCATATGAATGACGCACCTATAAACGGTCGATTCCTGGCGATGTACTGGTACACCGGAATGTCTGACCAAATTGACATACATTAAAATGTAGAGCATAAAACAGAGCAATAGTCATCTATTGGAGGATTCGACCACTTACCCTATTGCATATGTAGATCGTTCGACTTACTCAGTTTTGGACGCAGAATTCGTTTTCGTAATTTGACATTTTGCGCAGCTCCACCCCATAACGCCATAAAGTCGACAGACAAAATGGAGGTATCATCTAAATTCACGCATGCGTATACTATTTTTTTTAAATGTTAAATGCATACTGGAATTGAAAGCAATGATAATACTAATAATGTTAATACGAATAAGAGAGTTATGCAGTCAATGAATAAGTGAGCCATATAATCAGGGAATATTGAGTTCTGCAGTCTATATTAGGTGAGCTATGCAGCCAGTAAATGAATCAGTTATGCAGTGAGTGAATAGGTGAGTTAATCAGTGACAGAATAAGTGAGCTATACACCCAGTGAATATGTGAATATGGAGCCAGTGAATAAGTGAGTTATACAGTCAGTGTATAAGTGAGCAACACACTCAGTGGTAAGTGAATAGGCAGTGAAGTGATTCATGCAATCAGAGAATAAGTATGTTATACAGTCAGAGAATAAGTGAGTTATACAGTCAGTGAATAAGTGAGCTAACTCCCAGTGACTAAGTGATTATGCAGTGAAGTGATTCATGCAGCCAGTGAATAAGTGATTCATGCAGTCAGTGAATAAGTGAGTTATACAGTCAGAGAATAAGTGAGCTACACTCCCAGTGAATAAGTGACTATGCAGTGAAGTGATTCATGCAGTCAGTGAATAAGTGAGTTATACTGTCAGTGAATAGGTAAGTGTGTAGCCAGTGAATAAGTGATTCATGCAGTCAGAGAATAAGTGAGTTATACAGTCAGTGAATAAGTGAACTACACTCCCAGTGAATAAGTGACTATGCAGTGAAGTGATTCATGCAGCCAGTGAATAAGTGAGTTATACTGTCAGTGAATAGGTAAGCTATACGCCTAGTGAATAAGTGAGTATGCAGTGACGTGATTCATGCAGTCAGTGAATAAGTGAGTTATGCAGTTGATGAATAAATGAGATATACGCCTAGTGAATAAGTGAGTACACAGTGAAGTGATTCATGCAGTCAGTGAATAAGTGAGTTATGCAGTTGGTGAATAAATGAGATATACGCCTAGTGAATAAGTGAGTACGCAGTGAAGTGATTCATGCATCCATCGAATAAGTGAGTTATGCAGTCAGTGAATAAATGAGATATACGCCTAGTGAATAAGTGAGTACACAGTGAAGTGATTCATGCAGTCAGTGAATAAGTGAGTTATGCAGTTGGTGAATAAATGAGATATACGCCCAGTGAATAAGTGAGTACGCAGTGAAGTGATTCATGCAGTCAGTGAATAAGTGAGTTATGCAGTTGGTGAATAAATCAGATATACGCCTAGTGAATGAGTGAGTATGCAGTGATGTGATTCATGCAGTCAGTGAATAATTGAGTTATGCAGTTGGTGAATAAATGAGCTATACGTCTAGTGAATAAGTGAGTATGCAGTGAAATGATTCATGCATCCATCGAATAAGTGAGTTATGCAGTTAGTGAATAAATGAGCTATACGCCTAGTGAATAAGTGAGTACGCAGTGAAGTGATTCATGCAGTCAGTGAATAATTGAGTTATGCAGTCAGTGAATAAATGAGCTATACGTCTAGTGAATAAGTGAGTATGCAGTGAAATGATTCATGCATCCATCGAATAAGTGAGTTATGCAGTTAGTGAATAAATGAGCTATACGCCTAGTGAATAAGTGAGTACGCAGTGAAGTGATTCGTGCAGTCAGTGAATAATTGAGTTATGCAGTTGGTGAATAAATGAGCTATACGCCTAGTGAATAAGTGAGTACGCAGTGAAGTGATTCATGCAGTCAGTGAATAAGTGAGTTATGCAGTTGGTGAATAAATGAGCTATACGCCTAGTGAATAAGTGAGTACGCAGTGAAGTGAATCATGCATCCATTGAATAAGTGAGTTATGCAGTTGGTGAATAAATGAGCTATACGCCTAGTGAATAAGTGAGTACGCAGTGAAGTGAATCATGCATCCATCGAATAAGTGAGTTATACAGTCAGTGAATAAATGAGCTATACGCCTAGTGAATAAGTGAGTACACAGTGAAGTGATTCATGCAGTCAGTGAATAAGTGAGCTATGCAGTCGGTGAATAAATGAGGTATACGCTCAGTGAATAAGTGAGTACGCAGTGAAGTGATTCATGCAGTCAGTGAATAAGTGAGTTATGCAGTTGGTGAATAAATCATATATACGCCTAGTTAATGAGTGAGTATGCAGTGATGTGATTCATGCAGTCAGTGAATAATTGAGTTATGCAGTTGGTGAATAAATGAGCTATACGTCTAGTGAATAAGTGAGTATGCAGTGAAATGATTCATGCATCCATCGAATAAGTGAGTTATGCAGTTAGTGAATAAATGAGCTATACGCCTAGTGAATAAGTGAGTACGCAGTGAAGTGGTTCATGCAGTCAGTGAATAATTGAGTTATGCAGTCAGTGAATAAATGAGCTATACGTCTAGTGAATAAATGAGTATGCAGTGAAATGATTCATGCATCCATCGAATAAGTGAGTTATGCAGTTAGTGAATAAATGAGCTATACGCCTAGTGAATAAGTGAGTACGCAGTGAAGTGATTCATGCAGTCAGTGAATAATTGAGTTATGCAGTTGGTGAATAAATGAGCTATACGCCTAGTGAATAAGTGAGTACGCAGTGAAGTGATTCATGCAGTCAGTGAATAAGTGAGTTATGCAGTTGGTGAATAAATGAGCTATACGCCTAGTGAATAAATGAGTACGCAGTGAAGTGAATCATGCATCCATCGAATAAGTGAGTTATACAGTCAGTGAATAAATGAGCTATACGTCTAGTGAATAAGTGAGTATGCAGTGAAATGATTCATGCAGTCAGTGAATAAGTGAGTTATGTAGTTGGTGAATAAATGAGATATACAGTCAGTGAATAAGTGAGTATGCAGTGAAGTGATTCATGCAGTCGGTGAATAAGTGAGTTATGCGGTCAGTGAATAAGTGAGCTATACACCTAGTGAATAAATGAGTACGCAGTGAAGTGATTTATGCATCCATCGAATAAGTGAGTTATGCAGTCAGTGAATAAATGAGATATACGCCTAGTGAATAAGTGAGTACACAGTGAAGTGATTCATGCAGTCAGTGAATAAGTGAGTTATGCGGTCAGTGAATAAGTGAGCTATACACCTAGTGAATAAGTGAGTACGCAGTGAAGTGATTCATGCAGTCAGCGAATAATTGAGTTATGCAGTCGGTGAATAAGTGAGTTAGACAATAAGTAAAACAATGGACAAGTAGACAAATATATAAATATATATGTACAACAAAAACACTGATGACGACGACATGTACTAGTATTGATTCAGCCCAGCAATTGTACATTATGCCTAATATAGTGCATATTAATTGATTACCATTCCATTTATGGCTACATAACGGCTGTTACCACCAAACATTAACAAGTCTCTTTGGGTAGGTCGTACAGTTATTAATCTAGACCTAAAATAATTGTCGTGCACTTCCACAAGTCATCTGTTATAACACTGCCTCGCACACTGTACATACTCTTTATCACAGGTGGTTTTGTCCCCTATTTTGCCATCCTGCTCACACGTGGTCCGAAGACATGGAAGCGCGAGACGTCTTATTATTATGTGTATGTACCTATATATGGAATATTGGTGAATGCTCCGATAGGTTAGTAATTTTTTTTTAAATAGTGTCATTATTAAAACTGTAAAGTTTATTAAATCACAACATTTCATTGTATTTCCATTTGAATAACAGACAAAGCTGAAATAAAACAATCGCATCAATTTTGGTTATGAAAAGTATCATTTTTAGGGCAGTTTACGCCTAATTTAAATATTACACTACTGAACACGTCACTGCGCATATATGCAATGCAATGCACGGGATAATCTTTTATTGTTCGTAACAGAAAACTATATGGAAACTGGAAACTCGCTATTACAATTAATATTACCATATTTTATGACATTTCGAACTCTTGTCCGGCGACCCGCTTTCTCTTCTTTCCTTTATGTTTGTTTTCTTAGTATCATAAATTATTGGCAATAAAATTATGAAAAATCTTCTTAACGACAATTTGTCACAATGTCGATATTTCGGATTGAGCGTGGACCATTGACATGTAATTCGTGCGTTATATTGTATCTTTTAGCCATACATCGAGCTACAATGATTCAAGAAGGATAGACCATACCAAGTATAAACAGTTTCTGACCGACCTTTTGGAGAGCCCAGGCTCCGAGTTGCGTGCAACCAGACCTAATGAGTATGGTCAGTAAAATTATCCAATCATCGACTCCTAGTATGTTTGCCGTTGGCGGCGTTCCCGTGCAATGTAGAATCACTGATTCCGCAAAACCCAACTGAAATACGCAGTCTTTACTACATTCTCATTTAAAAAGAAAATCAGTAAAAAATTTCAGTATCTGAAATTCTATGTCCGGTAGTCATTTGTTAGATAAGAGGGGGAAGTGTCACGGTCGGACTCCACTTTATAGCAACCGACTATACGGTCAATCAAAGTAGAAAGTTTAGATTTTAATGATAAAAATAACGATTTGATGACAGGTCTACTACCCAAAACTAGAGAGAGAATAAGGTATAATATCTCTGTCGTAGGAACCTATGGTAAAAGCACATGTACAGTCAGCTGGCGCACACGTGATAATAAAATAAATACAATATTTACTACATGGGGGCCGCCATCTTGAATGACGCATAAAACTAAATAAGAGACAAGTTGTGAAACGCGTTTTTCCTACAAATCAGGACAAAAATACCAATCTTTCAGTAAAATACGGTCCGTTGGGGTTATATTAGGCCAACCGATAACAAAATTCGACCTAATTCGTCGTTTTTGTGTGGAAAAATCCCTTGCATACGAACACCTAATTACGCGAAGAACCGAGAACACTAAGCCGGGGTATTTGAAACCGAAATTGTTATCTAAGCGTTAGGCCGTCGCTGATTGGATGCTGAGCT